TCGTCATCGTACACGAAATGAAAAGAAGTAAAAATAAAAGTAATATGGTCAGTCCGGACAATCGGAAGCGGCGTTCAAGTGCTTTTTCGTAAAATCGGGTTTAGTTACTCATTGTATCCTAATCATAGAATGAAGCTGAGCACGAGATGACCGAGTTGTCAAATTATCGCATTGCTTGAAATCGGTCGTTTGTTCCGGGCGTATTCCATTTGCATTGTTAGTTCAGTAAGGTTGATTCAGCAAACGATATTCGGAATGATGACGGCAGACAATTACTAACAGGCTATGTGAGATGAGAGCCCGAAGGCATGATTGAGAAAGTTAGGTAACTCCCGTAATCAGATGTCATAAATTTTGTTACGGGTGTGTAAATGTAAGTGTATGAGTTAAAGTATCCGGACCAACGGATTCATTGAATGTGTAAACACAAATTTACGCATAGTTATTCAGAGCGCCTTTCACTGAAATATCAAATGTCTTTAAATTCCAGAGTTTTTCCATTCCTTAGACCAATCATCATCACTGTCCATTTTGCACAACTTCACTCGCTGTTTGTTTGATGTTCATTTGTTAAGTGACTTGTAAAAGGTTTTCCAAGACTGTCGGAATGTAGCCAGCAAAGATTATTGTTTTGTCGTTCGGGCCAATCCAAGCTGTCCAATAAAAATCTGATACTATGAGCACAACGTACAATTTTATACGATTTTGTACCGGCTACAAATGAATTAAATATTTACGCAATGCTTAGCTGCTGCCTTTATATGATATCCACATGCCCATCAGGAAATTTTACTTCCATATCCGAAGTTGACAATCAGCAATGTACAGTGGAAATTCTGCTGCGTTGTTTTTCTCATGTGTCTCGTTCGATTCTTCGCGGATGCTTGATATCGGAAGAATGTGCATTGTCAATATGCACCAATCGTTTGCTCTTCTTAGTCAGTGGATATGCAGTGTCAACCGAGATAATGCTTAGTTAGAATATATGATTGGTGTTTTCCCTAAATTCTCAAGGCTTTATTTTCATCATTAATCCTATTCTGTTCGTTTCCGTCTTGACGAACAACATGGGATTGCTTGCATTTCACCCCACGTGTCCTGTGCTTCTCCCGTTACAAACAACAAAACGTTTTGCGCGCGTAGATATTTTCGTTAATTCCGTTCAAATCGAAAATATGGCGAAATAGCGCGGATCCAGGAATTTATATCCAAACGATGTCTATCAGAAGCTAGAGCTGGTGAAACAGTGTAAGATTAGCCTAAGCTCGATGCTGTAGGAATCATTTTGGCGTAGTAAACGCACAAAACCCGAGAGCACACAAATGGACCGTCCGCTCGTTAGTTCAATAGGCGATGAATTCTTCAAATCATGCTGTCGCCCAATTGTTGACCGATATCTTTGAACCTGAAACGAAACGGTTAGTGGCATATAGTGATTAGGATACTTTCCATTTTATTGAAGCCATTTAAACGACATTTGTTTAGCTGATTGGAATTGCCAACTGTATCAACTGCTGGGAAGGTTCAATTCCGAAAACACAACGCACAATAAAAAAATTAAAAAGAAGATAGAAGCAGATGATCGAATACTGTTTTCAGATGTAGTCTTCATTAGAAGACTGGTCAGTGAATATGCGTTGTCAACTGAAATAGTTGGAATATACGATTGATATTTTCGCTAACTTCTTAAGGCTTTCTTTTCACGCTTTTCTTCACTAATTCTATTCTGTGCGTTTCCGTGTAAACGAACAGCACGGAATTGCTTGCATTTCACCCCACGTGTCCTGTGCTTCTCCCGTTACATTTGTCATAACCTGTTTGTCACAAAGTGGCTCGTAGTTTCCTAATATTCGTTTCCATATGCCATAGATTATCTCGCAACTTGTCGAAGCAGTCATTACTCAACAACTCCGAACATGTAAAACACTCGTGAGTGAATATATTCCAAAATACGACGCACATTTTTGATTCAAGCAGGTATTTCCATAAATCGCAGGATACAATTCCCTCGTACTGCACCACCGTTATAAATTAATCTTTTACGAGAAAATGAAAACCAAGTAGAATTCCTATGTTTATCCGTGGAGTTTAACCAAAAAAACCAATTTTTATGCACTCCTAACGGATATTTACCCTGGATTGAACTGAAGCTAATATTTGACCATACAATTCGCAAGACAGAAGGTCAAAAGCAGTCTGTCAAAAGTGAGAAATTCCCAGCAATGGTGTTGCGATTCGCAAGCAAGAACTCCAGGTCGGATTGATTTGATGCTGACCTACACTGTTGGATCACTACCGCTAAAACAGTTCATCGTCGAATGTAGTTTTATCCGAAGCACCTATATACTGGCAAGTTTGCCGTGTGTAGGTAGTTCAAATTATCGAATTGATAAATGCAACAGGTGTCTAATCAATATCCGACGGGAATTTGAACAGCCAACAGATATAACGGATAGCGGATTATCGAGAAAATCGGTCAGATAACCTGAGTAACACTTTCGCAACAGCAGGAACAGACATTCACACTTATTTTACGAATTACGTTTATTACACAAAATCTGTTCGGAACGAGAGGAACTTCGAAGGAATTATTTTTGACAATAATTTCAATCATTCCACATTATTTCTGTATATGCAAAACACGTAAGATCACTTGTGAATCAAAGGGGTGGGTTGCAGCTATTCAAAAATTGAATTGCGCGAGCTAGAAATTCGGACGAAGGTGAATGAACTGATCCGCATTTGAGCACAGATCATTTTAGTTCGATTTGTTTTCTCACTGAGAATGCCTGATATTTTTTACCAAGTTCCAAATTAAATTCAATGCGAAAGATCAAACAAGTCATCCGCAACGAAGTTGAGTGATTTCTTCAAATGTGACCAAGCATCGAGTGTATTCATTGTAATTTCACTTAGCCGCTCATATGCACACCGCACAGCTGAACATTGGAAAGTTCGAGACAAGAACTGGTGCAGCTATTTCATTCCAAGTCAAAGCGAATCAGCCGTTTTAAACGTGACCGAGACAATTTGACCCATATTTAGCGCTCGAGGTTAGCAATCAACACAGACAGGGTTGCTGTTGCATGCCTGTCACGGCAAAATGGCACAAAAACAAAACAATTTGTAGAAGCGCTAGAGCTCCCCTGACCTAAACCACATCAAGTAATCTTTGGCATTCTGATTCCACAAAGGCTAACAATGACAGAAAGGTAATTCAAAACTCAACAGATCATCAATCTGAGGATAGGCATAAACAAAATTGCATAACATGGATAACTTCAAAAAATGGAAGCTTGTAGCGCTACTCGCTCAGTCAAATGCGAATCATATTGAGAGCCCGTAGGATTATACATACAAAGGTAAGTTCTGATTTTCAAATTCCTATTGTACACGAGGTGCGTAATTCAACCCTCTATTGGATTTACTCCGCATGTTTGAAACGTTCATCCAGAACTATTTGTCGACCGCCAAATCGAAAAGAAATAGTCACTTCGTAGCGGGTGATGCTAGAGGCCTGCCACTACGAAATGGTGCAAACCAGCGGTGAATCTACAGTAGTGAAACTAATGTTTATGATCCATTGTTTTGCTCATGATAGAAACGAACNCGAACACCTCTCCCTTTTTTCAAACAAGAATTGTGTTACCATTTTTTTCTGAATACTGGCGTAAACAATAGAAACAAAATTAATTTGTTTTAAGTTTTCCAATACTTTCAAATAACATTTTGGATTGCAGCGAATTTGAAAACATTCGTGAGCATAAAGACAGAAAAGTTCTAAATTCCGTGCAACACTAAACAAAAACAATGAAATGCTTTATCCCTTACCCGAAACCGATTGTTTTGTTTCGTTCCCGTTATTTTCTTCCTCATGGTTACCTTGGAGCCGAATCGGTTAAGCTTGATATATATATACACATACGAAGACATTGATGTCTGATAGTTTACACGAAGAACTGATGTTCACCCATAGAAGCTGAATTAGCTTTCGTTATGGATACGGAAATCACAGTAAAAACATCTAATTAATGTGCGGAGGAAGTTTGGCATTTTCTAACCGTTTATCTTTCGTTTCAAGTCCCAATCGTGATTAGACTGTTGTGATACAGGCTAGCTACATTATTCCGAAAGTTAAACATAGGTTTCCTTAACGATATATATATTTATTTATTTATTTATTTATATATGTTTATTTATATTTTAACGATCAACTGTTCGGAAACAGATTCGTTGCGATCGCGGTAGTAGCAAATCGAATGAACATATGCTCTGATAATTGTAAAAGGAATGCTAGCACATTCGAGTTTCTATTTGACAGTTTTCGTACACGGTAAGCACAAGTTAAACTTTTTGTTACACACACTATTCTCGACCATCAGCGAAACTCCATAACCACGAGGGTCCACTGTTCACTCATGAGAACCAACAAATTAAACCCAGAGGCTCGGAGTGGAGAACAAGATATGAGCGCAAAGAGGTTAGGTGTGTACCACATGTTCAAAACCTCGTAGCGTTAGTCTGTCCGTTCAGAGGAGCGGCAACAACTCGGAGTTAAAACTCCACAGGCTGAGGTTCAAGACCTCGCACATTAGGTGGATAAAAAACTATGAAAACTGACAACACAAAGGGAGCCTTGGGTTTTCATCCTCCATTTTTGCAAGCCTGGTTATACGATTATTAGCCTCAAGGTCTCGAGTACAAGCGGATAAATTCACGGAATAAAAAAATAACCAGGATTAAAATGAAAAAGTAATATTAATCTCCCTACTAGTAACGTTTTAGTAGACACATGTTGAAAGAGATTCAAATCTCTACCAAGAGTATAAGAGACCTAGAAGACAGTCAATCCTAAGCAAGAAATGAGACTTGCTGTATCATGAGGCGGAAGAAGATAAAAGTAAAGAAAAGAAAAATAGCAAAAAAGAGTAATGGATAAACAATTGTTTGCAGTGTGTTTAATCTCCATTGTTACTGATTGATCGAGCTTAGGTTCAATATCAGGTCCATAATTTGTCCGGATTCAAATAATCCCAATCCTCTTTCCGATAAGGATAGTATTCCGCACCACTCACATTGCTTGTATAGATCCCTGATAGAATCATCGAATCTCTTGCCCACTCTGTCCAATTGTCACTGAACAACTTCTCCGTGTAGCAACATTCGATGTAGCCACGTTTGTCTTTCCGTAGCGAGCCAACTAAAGCACAATCCCACGAATCGGCGCTAGACAGACCGAACGTGTACAAATCTTTCGGGATTGGGATGTTGAGACCTTCGTAGCCTTGGACACTGGGCACATCGTACAGGTGAATATGCTTGATACAATAGCTATGAATGCGTAATACGCCACGATAAATAAGAAATAGGAAAAGCAGTATACGCCAAAACATTGGCTCTTACAGTTTGATCAAAATATCCTAGCAAATGGATATTATTGATTTTCTGCGGTAAATTCTTAGCTCGTGGGTCATGTGTCTTATGTGAGTCACGTGTACGAGCATTTCGGTTATATTTGTAGTCACATGACGAAATAGTTATTGGGAAAACTAAAATCGTGAAATAATAAAAATCAGACTAGGACCAGTAGCTGTTGTGTTAACAATGATCAAGACGAATTGCAGAACATATTCGAAGGAATCTGATTATGCTCAATCTAGGGTGGGAGTTTCATTCTATGCCTGGAGTACCTGCGAATGATCTTTAAATTTTCGCATTTTGGTCCAACAGCCACTAGAAATTAATGAGTCTACCACACAAGTATGAATGAATTTCCAGAAAAGTCGCATGTGACTATTCGTTAATGCGGAAAGTAATTTTCACTTCCTATCTTCTTGCCAACGTCGGTTCTCAACAGCAAGATAGTGAATCAACGCACGGTACGACAGAGCCCGGAAATTATCCACCGTATTGGGAATACCGTTTGGTTCTCGAATTTCAAGCGTCCTATGTCTTCTGTGGCGAAAGTTCATTTCCAAACTGCTACCAGCGACTGTTTGAAATAAATACGATCCCTTTTCATGCAAAGCCAATCAAAAATGTAAGATTGCGCCCCTAAGGGATCGATCTTCAAAGGAAAGGAAAATTTAAGTATTTCGTAACCAGGCTGAAACGGGTTAAATGTTACCAACAGTGCAGTCAATCAGTATGAGAACGGGCCATCCACCAAAGCTGTTTGCTAAACCTTTTCCAAGAACCACTCACGAGTATCATTTATCCACCTATCAGGTATCAGCAAAGTGGACTTGGATGTAAACAGTAAAGCGAACTTTCTCTACACATGAGGTTCATGCCTTCTGTGAACAAAGGCTCATCAAGATACGACTAAACCGGGTGTGGTCAAACTGGCGCCATAGAGAACGAATCTATCGCATATCCACGAATTTTCCGTTCAATCTCTTAATTTATCAAAGTGCTTCGAATGCACTTTCACACTCTCTCTATCGATATATACCCGCGACTCCTCGGTCAACAACACAGTTCCCTTGTCTAGGGTAGATTCTGTGAAGTATTTAGAATTACAATTGACACAAACTTAAAGTGAACATCCCATATTTACAACTCTATACAGAAACTTCGTAGATTATCTTTTCAACTACGAAGACAGGCAATTTAAAGCCAAACAAAAAATCATTTCGCGTTTTGTTTTTTCCATTCCTGATTGTTCCCCGGTATTTTTCGCTGCTCTACTCAAGAAAGACTTCAAAAGACCTCAAAGACTTCATCGTCGAGGTTTGTCGAAGAATTCGTTTGTCGTGTCTTTTATACCCGTTGATGATCTATCTGGAAAACTGTGTGAACCTCACTTGTCCGCATGTGAAACATTTGCACAGAAAATCCTCTCTGACCCCACTCATCCCTTACATGGCAATCAAGCAAAGTGAGACACTCATTCATCTACGCGTTCTACATAGCGATTATACCCTCTAAAGAAATTGGTCCGAGTGAAGTCCCGAAATTGTGAACTTTCGGCGGACCTCTCGTTCGCGGTGTTTCCGTTCACCTCGGCCTCAGTTGTTTGTACTGGTCTTCGGAAATGTAACCATGGAGAAACAAAATCTCCAGCCTTCTTAAAATAAGGCCTTCGAAGAGATGATTACTGGGACTCAACTCAGACTAACTTTGTGCATGCAAAACTCGCCTTATCACAAGCTCCCTCGATAGCCGGTAGGCATTCTTGATCCTATTCGTAAGTCTCTTATGGCTCATTGTGTGAGAGATTCTTTCGAATTCTCTAATATTATGGAAAACATGATAATATCTCAACAGAGAATGTATTCGATAGACGTGGATTCACCCTTTGCTAATGTATCACTTTATGATACAACTGATTTTTTGCGTGATTATATTTTTTCAAACAATTTTCGACTTAATATTACTCTTGAATACTTAAGAGAACTTATTCTTATATGTACAGAAAACATTTATTTTGAGTTTGAATGGACCACATACAAACAGATTGATAGCTTATCAATGGGCAGATGTTTTTCTAGGAACGATTGAGAAGGAACTAAGTGATAATACTTCCAAGTTAACCCTGTAAAAACGTTACATAGACGATATTTTTATACTTACAGATGATGAACATCTTTAAACACTTTTACAACAGTTTAACTCAGTCCATTCACACTTATCTGTGTCCCATGAAATGGAAACCAACAACGGTCTTTTATCTTTTTATTTTACTTCCTTTTATTGAATATGCAACGGTACAATTTTCAGCAAGGGGGAGTGGTCAATCAAGGGGCTGCCATTCAAAACACAATGGGGAAAGTGGCGGTGGGATTCGAACACAAGCACCCGGGTGATAATCTAGTGAAGTTAGCACCGCGCCACCATAATCTAGCTTTCCCAGACATGAAAGTTACGAGGTGAATAAATGGGACACTACAACTGTCCGTTTGCCGGAAAGCAACATGGAAAGGTCAATACCTTCACTTTTTCAGCTTTTCCCCGATTACTTACAAACGTGGACTTCTGAGAACCTTATGTAATCGGTCCAGAAACATTTGTTCTATAGATACACCAAAGGAAGAAGAGGATTTCCCAAAGAGAACAGTGCTAAACAGTGATTAGCCAGAAAGGTTTATAGATATTCACAGTAGACTATTCCCAAAATGTCGGTAAAAAGGCCATTTACATCAAGCTTGCATTCGAAGGTGACCACATTTATAATTATGTGCCCCAGAAGTTGAGATCAGCTCTAGACCGTTCATTCCCAGCTGCTCAACTCATTGCTTCTGCTCGTGGAATTGATTTGGACAAACCTAAACATGGCTGGCAAATCGGTTCCGTCTCACACACTATACCAGTTCACCTACAGTTGCGGTGACGCACACATAAGCAAAACAAACCATCAGCTCACATAACAGATGGTCGAATATATCCAAAGGATTTGATGAAATCCGTGGCCAAGTGAACACAAGAAATTCAGGGTCGTCTGTTGCAAAACATCATGATACCAAGACACATGGTTGACCCCAATTCGTCTTTCAAACCACTATTATGTAATCGTAATGCAAAACTTTTGGCAATTAGTAAAGCACTACCTATTCGATTACATCACCCGACCTTGTGCGCGCAGGTTTTTATACAAGCAATCCACTTACCGTGGGGTTCAACTTCTACTTCAAAATTTCGTAATCTTTGTATACTTGAACACGTTCGTTTACCATTATTGATTGATCCTATTTGCTATTTATGTGCCTGCTTCTTTTCAGTCAGTGACTGAGAACATTAAACGAAATGTTAACATACCGCCACTTTGCTAGGGATACTTAAGCAGCTGATTATAAATGTCAGTATCCTTCGACTACTCTGCACAATGTCAAAAGGCCGAATCTCAACGTTGAACGAATTTTTAATGTTAGGAAAAACGATTAGGACGTGGACGTGTCAACTCGTGTTAGGGTCGCGGGGCCATGGGAAAGGTCATGCCCATCTCGGGGGGTTGTGTCGCCTTGTGGCCACGGCAATCTGAGTGATTGTACAAATCGCTTTTGGGAACAAAGCGATGGGTTTA